TTTTATACCAAAATATCAAAGATTTTGACGAATTTATTACCACATATAATTACATATTTTTCGAGTTATTACCACATATTATATTACATATTTTTGGGCTTATTACCACATATATGTGAACTCTTTAGTTATAACTAATAGCAATAAATTACAAATATAATAGTTGTTTTACTTACATAGTAGAAAATGTTCACGCTTTCTGTCCGTTTATGTTTTTAAATATCGATATCTGTTTACAAATAGAAATAATAATAAATATAAATAATATATTAATTTAATTTAAAAACTAATATTTATAATATGTTAATGGAAATATTAATAATTTATATCAATTATAACAGTATTAACATATACTAATTGCATTTATCTAGCAGTTAATAAATATTTTAATTTGAGTAATGAATTATTCTTAAAATTGTTAGAATTACTAATAAATAAAGTTGCATTACAACGATGTGACAAAAATTGTCACCAAGTGTTTATACCAAGTGTCACCAAACAACTCAACGTTACGTTTCATTGAACATCAAATACAACCCTAATAAAAGTGATTTAACCGAAACACACGCCCGACTCAAGTGTCCAAATGTTTTATTTATTTTATTTTCGTTTAAGTTTTTTGTTTTATTTCTGATTTGTTCAACAAATTACACACTGTTTTACAAATGAAACAATTTCCGCTCAAAACACAACTTCCCAATCGGTTCCCGGTTTTCTAAATAGACCATTGGGTCAGTCAATAGGGCTCCGGTGTGTCGGCTATTCCTCTTGTGGTGTCATCAAAATTCTCTCTCTTTCTCTCTCTCTCTCTCTATCTCTACTTCCCAATCGGTTCCCGGTTTTCTAAATAGACCATTGGGTCAGTCAATAGGGCTCCGGTGTGTCGGCTATTCCTCTTGTGGTGTCATCAAAATTCTCTCTCTTTCTCTCTCTCTCTCTCTATCTCAGCCATTAAGTCATTGGAGTTTATATAGTTTTTAACATTTATTTTATACTGTATTTGTTTCTATTTAATTTATTATAATTTATAAACATCTCGTTATAGTGAACCACACGTTCACTAAATGCTAATTCACTTACGAAAGGCGAGACTGATTAGTGTTTTACAAAAAGTAAAAAACGTGAACACAATAAATAAATCAGTCATTTATTTTGCAGACAAAACGCACAGAATAATCACTTTATAAAATAGTTAAGGTTGGTTATTTGTACACTATATGTGTTTTCACTATTGTTTGCTTCAATGTAAGGGATGTTTGAGAGAGAAAGAGAGAGAGAGAGAGAGAGAGAGAATTTATTGGAAATTATAACATGTTTTGTTTCCATCAGAAAGTAATGGTTTTTTGTGTTGTAGTATTTAGACAACTATTGTCTCTCTTATATATTATGTTTTGTATGTATTCTTTGCACTCGATTTCTGGTACTTAACTATTAAGAAGTGTATGAAAAACCAATTGCAAGGTTGGCGTACGTGCCGGTGCTCTAAGCGCACGGTTAACGCCACTCGCAAACCAAATATGGTCAATATAATTGTGCATTCACTTTGTACAATACAATGCATACCGTGACTGTGTATAAATGTGCCTGTGCTTATTAGGTAACAGTAGTTATATTTGTTACATTGTAGTACATTAAAATAGTTGAGCATTGGTAATTGCCCTTGCTATCACTCCATACAATCGGCTTAATTGTGTACATAATTAATTTAGATTGCTAAATATAGTGTGGCTAGAATTGCTTATCGATATAATCATCTAGTTTATATTAATCAGTGTAATATTTAATAGAGTTTTTGATGTTCTAGGTGATTGTTCAAAATAAATTAATCCCAATATTTATAAATGATAAATATTTATGGGATAATAACGTATGAAAATATAGTTGTGCCAAATATTACTGACAATATTATTGGCACTGAAAATAACGCCAAAAAAATTATGGCCATAAATGAAACGAGAATTATATGCCATATATTTAATGTCTTAACTATAGATCTTAACTGTTATTTGATTTATATTTTTATACCACGTACTCTACGACTAAGTATACGGTTTACTGACGGTATTATGTACACGTTTATCACATACGTTTATTAACAGTAAACAGCATATAGACATATTGGTTAAAAATAAATTTAAATATAAATTTAATTGGAAAATTTAACTATTATGCTAGTTGGGCATTGATCACATTTATTAACGATATGATCACATTTAAATACAAACATAAGAAAAGTTTAACAAGACGAAATAAAAATTATACGAAATAAAATATTTTACTAATGGATAATTTAATTAGTTTCATTTGATTATAATAATGAATACAATTATAATGATCATGATTATATTTACATCATAATTACAATGATCATCACATTTTATAAATGTGAAATAAAGTATATCTACCAAAGAGTATAAAATTACCCATTGAAATATAAAATGCATACAAATATATTAGGGTAGAAAATTATACAGTATAACAAAAATGCGTACTGTAAATATAATAAAATAAATTTCTACCAATATGTTTTACTAAACACTGTCGACACAGTACAACTTTAAAAACTTAATCATAAAATAAAAACTAATTTTTCCAAATAAATAAATAAATAATTAAATTAATTGTAATATTGTATGTGTTTGTGCCTGAGTGATTAACACCCACCACCTATTAGTGCTAACTTGGTAACATGGCACTATTAATATTATACGTGGTCTTATTGGCCAACATACCAGCATTGGGCCAGAACACGAGTCATATGGACTACTTTGAAATGGTAACAAAACCATGGCCAGTTGGCAGCCCTACCCCAACCCCCGTACCGCACGCACTGCCCATATCGGTCAACGGGTCGACAATAGTGTTAACCAATAACGGCACGGCATTCTTGCTCATCATAAACGGCACTTTCTCAGCCTCATTAACTCCCATCATCAACACTACCAGTCCAGTAACCCCCTCCCCCTCCATCACTGGCACAACCACAACGCCCGGCCCACCACCACAGCCGCACATAAAACCCGTGGTATACAACCGGTGCGACAATACGCACTGCACAGCACCCGTACCCTCCAAACTGAACGTACATCTCGTCCCTCACACCCACGACGACGTCGGTTGGCTCAAGACTGTGGACCAGTATTACTACGGCTCCCAATCGGAGACCAAGAAGGCGGGCGTACAGTATATTATTGAATCAGTGATACAATCGCTGCTACGGGCAGAGCACCGGCGGTTCATTTATGTTGAGACGTCATTCTTCTGGATGTGGTGGCGCGAACAGGACGAGGATTACCGGCATCAGGTCCGCAAACTAGTCAATGAGGGTCGACTCGAGTTTATTAGCGGCGGTTGGGTAATGCACGACGAGGCTACCACCCATTATCAGAGTATTATCGACCAGATGACCTGGGGCCATCGACGCCTACGGGACATGATTGGCCAGTGTGTTGTGCCCCGCATTGGGTGGCAGATCGACCCGTTCGGCCACAGCCGGGAATCGGCGCACTTGTCGGCTATGTTTGGCTTTGACGGCCTGTTTTTCGCCCGATTAGACTACGAGGACCAAAAGCTCCGGTCGGCTGAAAAGCGCATGGAGTTTATATGGGAGGGTTCGGATGATATCGGTAGAAGTGCCGACATATGGACCCACGTTATGGCCGGCGCGCTGTACGGCCCGCCCAAAGGGTTTGACTGGGAGGGCAACGATGAGCCCATTATCGACAACCCGGAGTCCGAAGACTATAATGTGGACAGAATTGTGGACAAGTTTTTAAATTACACTCGGTCGCATTCAACCAATTACTCCACTAATCAACTGCTAATTCCTATGGGTATGGACTTTAATTTTCAGGTATAACATAGTTGCCCTACCGGTGCCCACAGATATAATAGTCATAGTTTACATACTGTATCTCATTATTATGTGTGTTTGATTTACATTGATGTAGCCGTTATATGAATAACTATTAATTGAATTATCTAACAACTATCACATTGTACATCCTATGCAGTCGGCCAACTCTTGGTTCACGAACATGGACAAACTGATCCGGTACACCAACGCCCGGCAGAGTAACGGATCCAATATAAACGTGTTTTACTCGACGCCCACCTGTTATCTGGCGGCTGTCCATCAGTCCAACAACATTTTCACCACTAAATCCGACGACTTTTTCCCATACGCCGGGGACAACAACACCTATTGGACCGGGTATTTCACGTCCCGCCCGGCGCTCAAACGGTACGAAAGGGTTGGCAACAATTTTTTACAGGTTTGCAAACAGTTGGACGTATTGGCCGGTATGGGCGGCGCTTACGATAAGGAGGTGACGGCTCTACGCGAATGGCAGGCTGTTATGCAACACCATGATGCCATCACCGGTACTGAACAACAACACGTGGCCAATAATTACGCCCTCAAACTGGCAAAGAGTATCGCCGGCTGCGACCGGGTGGTGGACAGGGCTGTGGCCAAATTGGCCGCAAAGTCAATAGCCAACCGAACTGTCCAGTCTCTACCGGATCAGCTATTTTGCCAACATTTGAATGTAAGCGCCTGTGAGTGGACCGAGTCGTTGAACACATCGCTAGCCGTTACGGTGTATAACCCGTACGGACAGCCGGTGCGGCACATCGTGCGACTGCCAATAACAAATTGGTCGTTACAAGTGCTGAACCCGACCGGAGCCCCCATCTCTCAGACCTACGTGTTTCCCATACCAGACCCCGTATTGGAGTTAAAAGAGCGGGTCAGCGAAGCGGTAGAGGAACTAGTGTTTGAAGCGTCGGTACCGGCTCTTGGGTTTGCCACTTATATACTAAAACGTCAGGACACAGACAATTCCCAAACAAAACCGGTAGTGCGCAAAGTGGAGGGTAACTTTTCGGTACAAACCCCCGGTTTTAACGTGCTTTTTGATGGGTACGGACGGCTACAGGCGCTGCAGTTCCGTGACTCGGGTCGGACGGTATCATTGCATCAAGAGTTTGCTTACTACCGATCCTTCGCGGGCAACAATTATGGCCCAAACCGGGCGTCCGGGGCCTACGTGTTCCGACCCGAGCGACAGGTGGCCGACGTGATCGACCCGTGCGACTGGTACTACAGGGCTCAAGTGGTGGAGAGTCCGCTACTCACACAAGTGTATCATAAGATCAAGGAAGGCCTGTCCCAAGTGATACGTATAGATCATAGCAGTGACGCAATCGAGTTTGACTACACGTGCGGACCCATACCGGTGGCCGACGAGTTAGGCAAAGAGATGGTGTTCCGGTGGCAGACAAACCTGACCACTGGCGGCGTGTTTTACACCGATAGTAATGGACGACAAACGATGCGTCGGCGCCGCGACTATCGGCCCACGTATAACCTGACGGTTACTCAGCTGGTGTCGGGCAATTACTACCCGGTGACCAATTGGATTGCTATCAGGGACGAGGTGGCTGGTCTGCAATTAACCATGCTAAATGATAGGGCACAGGGAGGCACCGGGTTTAGAGATGGGCAGATCGAGTTGATGGTTCACCGGCGTATATTACAAGACGATGGTATGGGTGTCGACGAGGCCCTCAACGAACCGGGTGTTGATGGCAAGGGTCTGGTTATAAGGGGTCGCTTTTGGCTACAATTGGCTACAGTTGCTTCAGCGGCTGAGCTGCGCCGAGAGGCCGTCAATAGACTGATGATGGAACCGGTGGTGACATTTAGCAGGTTGGATAAAGAGCCGACCCACTATCATAAGGAGCACCGGACCAACTATACGGCACTGTATAACCCGCTGCCCCGTAATATACATTTGCTAACTCTGGAGCAATGGGCGAATCGGACCTTATTGTTACGGTTGGAGCACTTTTACCAGTGGAATGAGTCGCGCGAGTGGTCAACACCGGTAAGGGTTGAGCTCAGGGATGTGTTCCGCGAGTTTGTGGTGTACGACGTGTTAGAGACCACTTTGAGCGCAACCGAGAATATTCTGGCCGTACGGCTCAGATTCTGGGAAACTAATGCCAATAACCGCTTATCTCCGCAGACTCACAGGTTTGAGCCCAAACGCCATGAGCTAAACACTACGGATCTGTCGGTCATTATTAACCCGATGGAGATTCGCACGTTTATTGTTAGAACTAAGCCTAGATAGTGTGTGTGCTTGATGAGGGTTAAATGCGAAATTACCATAGTTATTTTATGTTTTAAATATTATTTTGAATTTAGCGAATTGTGTTTATTGTAAATAAATTTAGTAATGTTTATATTCATATATAATTTTGATTTTAACTTACGTTTAATATATTATATTTACTTATTTTTAAAAATATTAATTTATCTAGTGTATTTATTTATCATTTTTGTAACTTATAAATAGGGAAACCAGTCATGGTTTTCATATATATTGTAGTATGATTCATTTGTGTATTTTCAACACAAATGCAACACTCATAATTGACAATATAGTGATAAATATCCTATTTTCGCTTTAATATATATAAAGTTGCAACAAAGGTGCAACTTTCTGGTTTCGCTACTTATAAAATGGAGTTAATATTTAAAAGTTATTTTCATATAATTTAGCTATAAAAACATGGATTCTAAAATCCGTAAATAATAATAAGTTTTATATACATATTTAATAATGAATACAAAAATTTTATTGTCATTTTTTATATGAACCAGTGTATATCTACTAAGGGCCCCTTAGTAAGGGGTATAAAATTTTCCATTGAAATAGAAAATGCAAGCTACAATGAAACATTAAGGTAAAAGTTTATATAGTACACTGTACTAAAAACTTTAAGTACAGTATAACAC